ATTCTATTTGACTGAATGTCCTCACAACATGATGGCTGGGCTTCCGGAAACAGAAGCACTTTTTTTTTTATGACCTAGCCCCAGATAGCACAGAGAATCCCTTCTGCAACACCACATGAACAGCAACTAGTCGCTAACTGCAACCTACACTCAAGGAGAGAGTATTTAGATAGACTCTGCCTTTTGAAGCAAGAAGATTCAAAGAATTTGTGGACGTATTTTAATACTACCTGCATTAGGACAAGAACTTTTTCTCTACTTTTGACATCAGATTGGGGGCGTGTCCCACACCAAGTAGTTTTCCAATTTTCTGTGGACACCATCTGGGTGTCCTATCATTGGACATAATTTTGCTGCTAAGCAGAGTTAGTGCCAGACCCCTCAGATTAAGGACTCAGTCCTAGAAAACTGCCATACTTCAGATACCAATCTTATGTCAGATTGTCACACATGCTTCTGACTCACCATTGACCTCAAGTTTGATCATTTGAAAGAATGGCTCCTGGAGTATAAGAAAACAGTGTACTTCCTACTGTGGATCTAGTACAAAGGGTATTTTATTTTACTTATTTTTTGTTATTATACTGGGGATTGTACTCAGGGCCTCATGCTGGCCAGGCAGTACTCTACCACTTGACCCATGCCTCCAGCCCTAAAAAGGGTATTTTAAAAGATACAAATGAACAGTCATATGAAGAGATGCATAGGGTAAGGTCTGGTTGGGAAAGGGTCCCATGGAGCATGGATTTGGGATACACCACCAAACATATCCCAGCATGTGGATGTGTTTATCAACCCAGAAGTAGTCTGAATCCCATCTATTAGAGGTTTTTTAGGGAGGGTGCTTCATGCAGACATGCTTGACCATTAATTTCCACCTCCTAATGTCTCCCTGGAGGCTGAATGCTGCGGCTTAAAGCTTCAATCATTATGATTTGGTCTTTCTGGTGACCAGCCCCCATCCAGGAGCCCACAAAAAGTTACTTCATTAGAAAAAATATTCTCCTGTCATCCCCAAAATTTCCAAGGGATTCTGGAGCTCTGTATCAGGAACTGGGGGCAGAAACCAAATTTATGTTATTTCTTATTCTGTCATATTAGCTCAGACAAGAAACTAGAAGCCACTCTGGATATTTTAAGCCAAAAGAGATTTTGTCTAGGTCATTGGTGCTTCCCTTCCAACCCCTAGAGACAAAGAGGACCTATCTGAGCAAGCCTTTGTGTGCTGAGTTCATTACTAAAGTATCATCTTCGAATATCCAGGGTGGCTTCTAGTGTCTTGTATGACGTAGTATGTCATAACAAGATGAGGGTATAGCCCGTACCTATGTGAAGACTCCATAGTATTCAGAAGTCAAAGTCTCAATGTCCTTTAGTCCTGCAAGCCCAAGCCCTCTAGTGTGGCACCAAACCCTCCTTCCAACATTATAATACAGAAAGCCACCACTTGAGCTGCTCTTGCCTCTTCTGTTTGGACCTCAAGATACTCCCTCCTGTTTTGTTTTGTTTTCTTCATTGTTTTGTTTTGAGGGCACTAGGGTGGGAAGCTAGAGCTTCACCCTTGCTAGGTAAGCGTCTACTGCTGGGTTGCACCCCATTCTACTTTCCTCTTAAGGGACACAACCTCCTCTACATGAGGTAAGCAGTAAGATAGACACAGCCTGGGTTCCTGACAGTGTGGACCACCAAATTAACCCTGAGCTTCTTAATTGCATTACTACATCTTTTTTCTTTCTAATCCACTGTGTGTTTGGACTCTCTTGCAACAGCTGAACTTACAACCTACTAGAAGAAATGGGTTAGAAGGCTGAGTATGGCGGTTATACCTGTAATCCTACCTACTCAGGAGGTAGAGATCAGGAGAACTTGTGGTTCAAAGGCAGATAGAGCAAAAAGTTAGCAAGACCCCATCTCAACACACAAGCCAGGTAAGGTGCTACATACCTGTGACCACAGACAGCAAGTGGTAGGTATAAGTAGGAGGGTCGTGGTTTAGGCTACCCTAGGCAAAACCACAAGACCCTATCCAAAAAATAACTAAAACAAAAAGGATCAGGCACACAGCACAAGCAGTAGAGTACATGTCTAGGAAGTACGAGGTCCTGAGTTCAAAACCCTAGTACTGAAAAAAAAAAACAAGAAATGTGTTCGGCTGAATGGGGTGGTACAAGCTATGGTCCCAGCTACTCAGGAGGTAGAAGTAAGAGGATCAAAGTTGAAGACCAGCCTGGGCAAAGTTAGCACTAGACCATATCAGACAAACTAAAAGTAAAAGGATTGGAAATGTGGATCACGTGGTAGAGTACTTCATGCCTGAAGCTCTGAGTTCAATCCCCAGTACCAGCAAAAAAAATAAAAATAAACAAATAAAAAAAATAAGGAATGGGTTAGCTATCGCTGCAGTGATGTAACTCAGGGATTAGAATGACCTTGCAGGGCTGTAGCTGTCTAATGTAGTTGTGTTCTAATACTATGCTAGCTGGTTGGCTCCACCTTACCCTGAGGCTCTGTCCCACCTGTGCTCACTCTGCCACTAAGGGTGGAGAGGTGGTAGTTCAGAGGAGATGCTCCTCTCCTGTGAAGGCGGAAGTACACTGAAGACCAGCAGATCCTTGTGAGGCCTCTTCAAGCCAACACTTGGAACTGTACTTTCATTTCTACTTAATCTCACTGGCCAAAGCAAGCCACAGCAAAGCCTAAAGCCAGGCAACTGGAAAGGACAGTTCACCCACAATGAGATCATGGATGCCATATGGGCTAACAGGTTGGGGCTAGTAATTCAGTGTGTGAGGAGTCCTGGTTTGGAGATTATACAATGAGGGCCTGCTGTTGCTGCAGCCACCTGGAAATATGGCATAGTGAAGGAAGGGGGACTCAAGCACTGTTCTCTTTGAGGTCACTTTGAGGAACCACGACAAGGCAAGAACCACAGCTCCTGCTCCCCTCCCACCAGTGCCTAGCATCAAGCCCTGCTTTAGGGATGACTCAGGAATATTACTGAGTGCATTTTAGTCTGTTCCTTCAACCTCTCCATGTGATTCAGTATGAAATACAGATTGAATGACTGGAGGTCACAAATACTGTTATTGCCCCACAAACTAAAGAGACTGTGCCCTTTGGAGCTGAGATCTGTACCCAGATGTGTCTGACCCCAAATACGGGCTCTACTGCCTTCCACAGGGACCTCCAGAAGAAAAGGATGAACACCAAAACAGTAGTTAAATTTCTATCTCCAGGAACCATTTGAAATGGAAAAGATTCTCATCACCTTTGAAATACAAAAAGCCAGCCAGGCACCAGTGGCTCACACCTGTAATCCTAGCTACTCAGGAGGCAGAGATCAAAGCCAACCAGGGCAAATAATTCATGACAGCCTACTTTGAAAAAATAAAGGCACAAAGAAAGGGCTGGCTCAAGCCTTGTGGGTGGAGAATGTATTTTAGGACAGTGACTCATGGTAAATTTTTCCCCAAGTCCCCAAAACGGACTACTCAATGTCAAGCCCTCAAAACCCAAGTTGGAGGGATAGAGAACCTAGGAGTGCTGTGGGGTGTTTTCGCTATATATGTTGAAGATTTTGAAGCTTGTTGTAAAAAAGTGATGGCCTATGGCTCTCCAAGATTGCCTTCATGAATACAACAGATGTTTTGTAGTAGTTTTAAAAAATTGATCCCCATGGAATGTAGGCACTGGTAAGTGAAAGAAGAAGGATAGTGGGAGACTGTGTGTTGTGTATTATCTGTACAAAACTGGGTGTCCCAATACAGTAATCACTAGCCACATATCACTGTTTAAATATAAATTTAATTTAATACAAATTAAATTTTAAAAGTCAGTTCCTAAATCACACTACCCAAATTTCCATTGCTCGATAGCCACATGTGCCTGGCCAGTGGCTACAATGGTGAACAGCAATGGTAGACCATTTCCATCATCACAGTTCTTTTTTCAGCAGTACAAGGGTTTGAACTCAGGCCTTAGCACTAGCTAGGCTGTACCATGTGAGCCCACACCCAGCTTTTTCTTGAGTCGGTTTTGGATAGGATCTCGCAGTTGTTGCCTGGGGCCAGCCTCAGACTGCAATCCTCCTACCTATGCCTCCCATGATTGGGACCACAGGTGCCCACCACCACGCCCAGCTTCTTTGCTGTGATGGGGGTCTCATTAACTTTTTGCCCATTTTGGCCTCAAACTGGGATCCTCCCGATCTCTGCCTCCTGAGTAGGGGGATTCCATCATCATTACAATACTGATGGACAATGCTACCATTGAAAACCTCTGGAGGGACATACAAGATACTGATAATGGTGGTTTCCTTCAAGGAGGGCAGCTGGGAGGCTGCAATGACACATGTATGTGCCTTTTTGTATACACCTTTTGAATTTCATATCATGTATTTGTATCCAGTATATGAAAAATAATACAAAGATACAAATTGGGAATCCCTTCTAGGAGTCACTGTACTGGGAGAATGGTTCCCAGGAATTTACTTTGCAATTTTTCTACAATAAAATAAGCTAGTAGATTTACGACTTCGCATGTCATGTTTTTTCACAAACTTCTTGGCTCCTGCCAGCCTCTCTCTGCTCTTAGAAACTCACAGATTAGAAGTGAATTAGTATGTAGTATAGGAATGTTAAAGGAAAATCTCACCCAGCTCTCATGCACCACTTAGCATCTTTTTTTCCCCTTTCTGACAAATGTGAGTCATTGTGATTGTATTCCATGCGAATAAACAACAGCCATAGTTCCTGTTGATAAGGCTGTTCCTGGTTCTATAACAGAAATAAGTGGGTTTCCTTTTTGGCATTCATAATCGCTGATCACTCTGCCTCCGGAGCAAGGTTGCAATCAGTGAAATAGGGAATGGGGATCTTGCTTGGCATGAACCTGTACTCAAGCTAGTTAAGGTAGGAATGGGGTGGGAGGACTGTGCAACATGACTGTGCTCTTAGAGAAAGAATGCATTCAAACTGAAAGGGGAGGGAATCCAACTAAATTGCTTAAAGAACAAATGCAGCCAGGCATGGTGTGGTGGTACATATCCGTAATCTCAGCACTTGGGAGGGGGAGGAAGGAAGATCTCAAGTCTAGGCCAGTCTAGGTACATAGCAAGACCCTGTTTCAAAGAAAGAAACAAAAAATAGTGCACAATACATCAAATCATAACAATTACTTAGAAACTGTTTAAAAACATGTGCACGGATGCGATGAACCTAGAAACCTCTCAAGTTCTCTTCTCTGATCACATAGGACTTTGTCGATCCCTTTATTATTGTTCAAGTCACATCGCAATATGAGATTTTTTTTCCATCTGGAGTTTGCCTGGTCAGCTCATGGCCCATGAATGAAATCTTTTGTGAACATATGGCATATATACGTGCATTTGTGCATGTCACTCTTGTCCCATCCCCACCCCCATCACATCCCACTCCTGCCTTTGTGCATTTCACAAAAGCATGGAGAGCAACATGAGAAGAGGTAAACATACCTGCATATTTTTCAGAAGACCAGGAGCCTGCAAAGTAAAAGACCAGTAGAAAAGGGCTCCTGAAAAACAAAACATTATTTTGAGGGAATTCCCCACAGCCCCAAAACTCCGTAGCTATGCAACAGTTCAGTGGAGTAAGGTAGCGATATTAAGTGCTCAATTGGGAAGCAGAAGCATGGTTGTGCCAAGTCACCAATGCTCTGGCTGTGCCAGAAGTACTATTCTTTTCCCAAGGTAGCTCGATGCCTGTAGAAAATGCCTTAATTCTGGCATGGCTTTAAATGGGTTTGACAGTGGGGAGGATGGAAGGAAAGGGTGTAAGAGAGCGACTATGATGGAAATATTATGCACTCATGTAAGTAAATGGAAAAAATGAAACCTGTGGAAACTATTCCAGGAAGGAGTGGAGGGGGGAGAAAGGAGAATGTTGGAGGGGGTGAATTCTTTATGATATATTGTAAGAACTTTTGTAAATGTCACAATATACTGAATTCTCTCTGAATTTATTTCCTCCTTCCCAGTAAAATGGGGATAATCGGAAGACATGAACGTGAAGCTCTGGACAGCTAGTGTAGTGATCACTGACTAATAACTGTATTTGGGAGTTTTCCTTTGGTAAGCGTCTTTTTTAATTTTATACATCTATGGAACCAGTAAAGCAGTCTCATCTGATACTGGTCTACAGAGGTGACGGGGGAGGCAGGCAAGAAAAGACAAGTGGAGAACATGAAGCTCTGTGAGCAACCTTTTGCTAAAGCTGCATCTGGAGTACACCTGTTAAATATAGGTGATCAATAAAAGCCTTTGGAAGTGTTAAAAAAGAAAACAAAACAACAATAACAAAACCAATTGTTGTACCTGTACACCCAGTACAATTTTTAAGAGGCTGGTTTGACAACAAAAGAACATAGTTTGTATGTATTTGTAAACCTCCTCCTCAACTATCAACTGTTTTGAAAACACTCAACTCACCTAGCCTAAAACTCAGCAGGGGAGGTTCTCTCTCCTGCAGAACCGGCAGTCCCTAACAGCTGGTTTTATAAATGGAAGCAGACACTAAGTCCTCAACCTTTGCAGAGACACCAGCGATAGCTGCCTTGCAGAAGTCACCATGGAGCTTGAACTGAGCTGTTCCCACCCGCCCGGTGCGCGCATGCGCGTAGCTCTCCCCGCCCCCGCAGCGCTCCACACTCAGGCCCGGGGCTCCCATTTAACGGAAAAGCCCACATCTCCCGCCCAGCCCTCACTGGCTGCAGGTCGCTACTCTGGCCATTTTTCTTGAGTCCTTTAGGAGGAGAGATGTCACCTCTTTAAAGGAAAGAAACAACCAGAGGACACGGTCAGAAGAGGAAAAGCTGGCCCGGGGCTCCACGCCTCTAGAGAATGACAGGCCAGGCACACGCGGAAAGTGCCTGAAGGAGCAACGAGGGGAGCTCGTGGCATAAGGTGCGGTCAAAACCGGTGTTTTCCTGCCTGGGCTCTGCCACTGAGCTACACTATGCGTGGGGGAGGCACAATAGGGCAGGAGTTATTTGGCTCCACTCACAAGTTCAACCTTCGGCCGAGGAGGGGGCGAAGTGACAGCCGCAAAGTCGCACTGTTGGTGCCAAGGCCAAGCGAGGTAAAGGACTCAGAAGCCAGGAGTCTGGTCTGCCGCAGAACTGCTGGAAACAGGCTGTACGGACGCGTATTGCCCGGCGCGGGTGACCCAGCCTTCCACCCGAGGCTGGCGCCCTGGGAACCGAGCGACAGGTACAGGCAACGGCTCCTGGGGAACGTTACCTCCAGGCTTTCCAGCGGCTGGCCCCGCCCCACGGCTTCTCTGGGCTCCTCGATTGGCTCTGGGGGTGGGAGGCGGGGCCTGGCGCGGAGCCTACGTGATGGCGTCAGGCGAGCCCGCGCCGCTTAACTGACGTCGGTGGCCGGGAGACGAGGGTCGGCTCCCTGGCTGAGGCTGCAGCGGCCGGGAGTCAAGCCGCCGGGTTCCTGCTCCTGTGGTCAGTTGCCGGAATGAGGTGAGATGGGCAGCGCAGGGGGGCGGGGCCGCGATGCGGAAAGGCGGTGACGTCTAGACCTCCCCGCGGTCCCAGGTCCACGGTTTCCCCGAGGCAGTCCGGCTTCTCAGTCCTCAACCCTTCCCAACCCTCTCTCCATTCTCGCCCCAGCCTTCGGCGCTGTGGGAGCTGGCCGGTCCCCTCCATTTTTTCCCATCGTAACCCGACCTCAGCGCTTACCCGCATGCCCTCATCAGCGCTCTTGCGTAAATGCACCCCACTCGTGACCCCTCTTTAGCGCAGTTGCAACGCGATCTCCGTCACATCCCTTCGGCTCCTCTTCCTCATTGTCACCCCTCAACCCCTCTGGCAATAATGCTCCTCGCTGCCCTGCCCCCCTGTCATTGAAGAACCACCACCAAAGTAGGTACCCTGTTAATTCATCCCTTTCTTCTTGATAACTGATCTCAGCCTCACCCCAAGTCGATTGTGTACCTCCTTGACCTCACAGACTCACCCCCTAACTTCCTAGTTCATCATGTAGCTCTTTTCCCTCTCTTACCATCCTGAGGACACACCTTCCTAAATCTTTGCTAAACTGTCCCCAACTCTTGTTGCCTCAGTTCCTACCAGTTGCTCCTAGTCTTGTTAACAGTGAGATCTCCATGTCCTGTCTCCTCTGCTGTCCCCATGGCAGTTCTTCACCCAAAGTCTGTGCCCATTCTCCCCTTGGCGCAGCTCTCATTCAATCTGAGAACTTAATGCATAGCCCCTGCCAGACCCCTCCAGCTGACCCTCAACAGCCAAGTCTAGGGCTTGCTCAGAGCTGGGCAGTTAGAGACTGAACTTGACTGGCCTGTGCAGGGCCTCAGGCAGTAATAAGTGTGGAGGAATAGACATCCCTCCCCTACTCTTGGGTTTAAGCCTTTCCCCCATTGTCTGGTCCCCTGTACCTATCGCCAAGGTTTGTTTATCTGGCATCCTATTAAAGTACTTGTGCTGGCTGTTGGAATGGTCGGTGTCATTCAAACAACTGGAAGGTGAGAGATGGCCACTCACCCAGTTTATTTAACCTGGCGCAATGAAAGCCATCACTTCCTTTTGGCTTGGTTCTGGCTCTGGAGAACCTCAGGGAGTGGCACTGTGTGGTGAAGGCTGTGATCACAGAGCCATGCCCATGTGTGTTGTCCTGGCATGGTCCTGACCCTCTCCCTCTGCTCCTCCCTGCCAATGCTGATTGCATTGCAGATCAATCCCATTGCTGGGACACAGGGACACGATAGATGTCAGAGGCATGTTCCTTCTTGGGGAGAATGATAGGTGAGTGGGTCACAGGGAGGCTGTGACCCAAGGGAGTACAGACCAGTGGAGTTGCTCCCTGTTTTTATAGGTGCTGGGTCACTGAGCTTTAGCTTTCTGGGTTTCATGAACACAGGAAACCAAATTAAATTATCTCTCATTACCTGAGGCAGAAGCACCAAGCTCCCATGGTCAGCATTTATAGTTTCCTGGAGACTTCTTGGTTTACATTTGCTCTGAATTCTGATCACCTGCCAGCAAACGATGGCAATGTGTGTGTGTGAGTGTGTGTGTGTGTGTGTGTGTGTGTGTGTAGGCAAGTCTTGTACTACTAAGGGAGACTCCTACCTGTGCAGGTAATTTAAAAGGGCCCCCAAAGGACCCATTGTCTGTTGTCTCCTTCCTTTAAAACCTGAAAGCTATTAGACTTTAGTAACCTCCCATTTTGGTACAACCTTTTGAATGGCTTCTTCTACCCTCTTGGCAACTGGGTTAAAGGTCAGTTGTGGCACAGCAGGCCTATCACATTAGAATTGTGTGCCTTAACTCTCCGGTCTGTGAAATGGACATACCTGCCTTATGCCTGGCTTTTTTTTTACTGATCAATTCAATCAACAAGTGTTTTTTGAGCACCACTATGTGCCAAGCACTGTTCTAGGTACTAGGAATGCAATGGTGAATGAATCATGCAAAGTTCTTGTTTTCATTCATTCAGAGTTTGCTTCTTGTTAGAATCCTAGAACATATGGGATAAGATAATAGTACTGCATGGAAAGAAGGAGGAAGGAAAGAATGATACCAAACAAAAATCAATAAAGAAATTCTAGAACTAAATCACACCATAGATCAAGTGGACCTTGCTGATGTCTACAGAATATATCATCCAACATGTTCACAATATACATTCTTCTCAGCAGCCCATGGAACTTTCTCCAAAATTGATCCTATCTTAGGGCACAAAGCAAGCCTCAGCAAAGATAAGATAATAGAAATAATCCCCTACATTCTATTTGGTCACAACACATTAAAACTAGAACTCAACAACAAAAACAACAGCAGAAAATATGTGAACAATTGGAAGCTGAACAACACATTGCTCAATGATCAGAGGGTCATTGTGGGGAGCCAACAGATGTATCAAATAAGCTGCGGGTTTGAGTTTGGCACAGCCCCAAACCACAGAAGGAGCAAGCATAGTTATGCCCAATAAATTGCATGCTTGAGTTGGCACAGCCTCAGCTGCAGATGTGAGCAAGATGCAGAACAACTGTTTTTTCCTTTAATGTTTGCATTCAGAGAGAAGCTGTCATGCGTTCCTCCTATTCACAAGGATTACAGTGTCATGCTCCCTCCCCTGAGAACTACCTCTCCACTTTGTATGCTACTGTATATAATAAGCTCACTGGAGGTGACAGGGATTGGTGTGTCTCCATCCATGCACCCAGCCTACCTGGCCCCAGATTTATGAATGTTTGGTCTTCTGTCTATTCCCTTTTCTGGCATCTCCTGTCACCCTCATTAAGATTTATAGGACAAGCTCATGCAGGATGCAAGTGGTGGTGCCTGAATGGGGACCTGAGAGTGAGGTGACATGCAAGAGGTGGCACCCTGAACAGGGACTTGAGAGTGAGGTGAGGCCTAGTTGGGAACTAAGGGAGAACTTGAAGCCTGAGACAAAGAGACAATCTCCAAGAAGTGCGTGTGTAAGAGATAATAAGAAACAAGAAAGATGTGGAGGGAGAGTGAATTGAAAACAGCCAGATATTCATGGGACAGGGTGAGTCTAAGGACCAAAAACTCTAGGCTTTAAAAAAGCTATGTTAAAAATTATAAGGTAGAAGAATTATACAGTAGAAGAATTAAGCATTATATGGTAGAAGGATTATAAGGTAGAATTATATGATAGTACACAGTAGAAAAATTATAAGGTAGAAATTATACAATAGAATATGATAGAGACTTACAATAGAGTGGTAGAGGTCTTATGGTAGAGCTGTAGAAGTAAGAAGTAAAAGATTTTCCTCTGGGATGTGGGACTCACCCTTAAAGCAGTCCTACAGGAGTGTGAGAGGCAGTAAAAAGATGCTGTGGGCAGTGGAAGTGCTGAACTGTCAGCCCCACCTTAAGAGTAAAGTTCAGAGCTTCTGACTCAGTGTCAGATGAGGAGGGTCAGGAAGACGCTCTGACTCATCAAGCACTGGAAACCATGCATTTGGGGATCCCTCCATGGGCCAAGGAATTTCCCACTCTTGCTAAAAGTTCCCTGCAGGCTTCCTAGTAGGCAGCTCATAGTCAAGGAGAGGACACAGTTGATTTTAAATTTTACCCTGTGTTTGAGAGACCAGACCCTAACGACCCTGGCATGCAGCAGAGATTTCATGACCAGGCCACCAACTGATGCCAGTGGGCCCAGGATTTAACTCCCCAACCAGTGTCGGAAGGAAGGAACAGAGTTTGCAGAGCATGGCACCACTGCCAGGAACAGGCAGGTCCAAGAGGGATTGAGTCATGGAGGGTCCGTGGCATCAGACCCGCCTCCTAAAAGAGCTCAGCCCCAGCCAGGCCCGGCCCCATTCCTGCACCGCCGCCACTGCAGGAGCACTCTGACAATTGTTGGTGCAAACCTGCCTTTATCCCTGTTTTGTGAGCCATTTGTACTCACATTCCAATCACCCCGGTCCACTTGCTGATGGTAATGCCTGGACAGATAACCTAGTCTCTGGGCTTGCTTTGGGCTTGCCCATGCAAACTGCTGCACCTGTAGATGCTGCCCAACAAAGTCATGCTGTGTACCATCAAAATGCTTAAGCCTTGCACAGGCAATTTATATCTAAGCCTCTGCATGCTAGTGAGGCCACTAAGCATGTCATTGCTCATTGTTTGGCTATGTGGGGTCGAGGGCATGTTTGTGTTTTTCCTGAAGGTACAAGAACACCCAGTGTGGGTACCATTGTGGTTTGCCAAGCTTCATGGATCCCCTGTTCCCAAAGATGAGGAGGCTGAGACTGGAAGATTTGCCCTGGGACAGGGAGCCACTGAGGCTGACTCCTCAACTGACCAGAGGGTGGTCAAGGAAACAGTTGCTGATGAGACAGATGCAAGACAGTGAGCCACCCACTTGAGGTCAAATTAAGAAACTAATGGACATGCCAATGATCATAACCAGTAGCCTGGTCATGCCTGGGAATTCCAAAGCCACATTGCTGGTGGCATTGGTCATAATTACAATACAGGAGGGTGTTATCCAGGGCAATGCATACTGAATTTTCATGTCCAACCTGCCAATGGTGCATCCTATTACTTGGTAGAGCCACCCTGTATCTATCTTTACCAATGATATGGTGCCCATGGGAGGTCATTCCTCAAGACATTTGGTGCCTCAATATAGTGACTATAGCTTTAAAGGTAAAGCTCATCTTATGGGCACGAGAACTAAGCAAATGACACTGTAGACTTATGGCTATTAAGATAACAAATATTGGCCATGC